TTTGTGTGTCTCGGCCATGCAAGCAAAATAGGTGAAGTTGGACTTTGATTAATTTTATTTCATTGGGATTGGATGATTGAGGCATGAAGGGCACCTTGTTGTCCTTAAATGTAATATATATAAATAACATATTTGATCAAGATGACTGGTTACTTATAACTGATTGGAATTAAAAAAGGAAGGAGAACATTTCAAAAGGTATATTATGAGTAAGAACTATTGTTCAGGATGACCAACTATTAAATAAAAGGAATATAGTTCATTAATGGGTCAAGAGAAGTTATATCTTGATAATAAAAGTTTAATGAACTAAGCATTGACCCATTTATATATGAAACTATATTATAGGATTTGATATTATGCAAACTTTAATATATATATATATATATAAATATTCTTTTACATAAACAATTATATATATACATATAAATTATTAAAAACCAAAAATAAACTAGACGATAATTTTAATCATAACTATTTTTATGACAAAGCAACTTTTAAATATTTGTTTTACTATTTATTTTATATTATTTTATTTTAAAAATATTTTAATATAATATTAATTTGGAAAAATTGCGAACAAAGATACCCTAATATTTGAAATTGTGATTTGGGACCTTTAATTTGAAAAATTACAAATAAAGACCCAATCTCATATTGTAAATATAAAATTTTGGTGAAATGTTTGAAACCCCTGAACCAAATTATGATTTGGTCTACTGAAATTATTATTCACTAAAGTGAATTATCATTCGCTAAAGTAAACCTATCATTTCCCATAGTCAACTTGTCATTTGGCATACCCTCAGTCAAGTTGTGATTTAGTTTACGGAAATTGTCATTTACTGAAATAAACTTATCATTTCTCATAATCAACTTGTCATTTAGCTAAAGGATATTTTATATATTTCACCCATATTTTATATTTGCAATTTGAGACCGGGTCTTTTGAAACTATTTTTCAAATTTAGGATTCCAAATCATAATTTCACATATTAAGGGGTCTTTATTTGTAATTTTTCCTATTAATTTCCAATGACACTAATTTTTACTTTTAAATTGCAAATAATTTTTTCATAAATATATTTTTTAAATATAAGTCATGGGCCTACTTTTTGAAAAGATAGATTCATTTTCCCCACTATAACCCATGAAAAATAGAATTTTCAACTTTCACCGAAGAAGGGGCTTCAATTCAATATACACATCCAGGTCATCAAAAAAGGAAAAAAAAATCACAACAAAAAAGTTCGAAAATTGAAAGCAAGAGTGCAATTGACGCGGCATAGTGATGACTTTTTGAATGAATAAGGCTAACCCTATGCTTGGTACGAGACAATCAGAAGAGAGAATAAATTTTAATGAGCTTGATTAGAAAAATTGAAGAAATGAGATTCTAAAATTTTGATGAAGAGGATATGTAAGATAAAAGAGGAGGAAAATTTAATTAAAAATTTTTAACTCCACTTTTTTTATTTCTTTTAAATCAAACTCATTAAAATTTTCTTTTCCCTTTCGTTTCCTTCATTTTCTTCTCACCAAATAGGCCCTAAAGGAAACATTGCAAAGAGGGAGGATGTTGTTTCAGCCTTTATCAGGACTTGCACAAGAGTTAAAGAGGCTAATGCTAACGCTATAAGAAAAAATGATTTCCCAAAAAATGTTTCAGATTTGATGATGATGATTTTTGGAATGAAGATGATGATTTGCAAACGGGGATGACTTCAAGCTGGGGTAGACGGAAAGAACAAGATAGATTAGGCGAGGCTAGCATCCAAGTATTATTATTAGTAGAATCACAAAAATGTCCCTTGGAGCCATTATGAATTTTAATCAAGAATAAATTGATAAATTAATAAAAATAACATGTCATCTCCTAAATAATTGTTTCATAATCTGATGAGGTGGTTCTGGATCCTCTCATAATCCTTCTTTCTTATTTTTTTCCCTCAAAATCTCATCTTCATTGTTGGAGTAAATAATAAATGGTTCAGATTTAATATTTTAAAAAATAGATGTCCACCTTTTTTCTATTATTTATGCAATGTATAATAATAGTTTTATAAAATATAAAATCTGAATCATTAATTATTTGATTCAAAGGTGGAGATCGAATTCTAAGAAAAAAAAGAGAAAAAAAGATTATGAGAGGATACAAACCCGCGATATGGTTTATCTTACCAACTGGGAGATGAAGGCTCATTTTAGGTAAAGTGAACAAACTCAATTCATATTTTTATCTCATATTTTATAAATCACAATTATTTTGCCTTTAATATATGGGGGGGCAGGTGGCTTCCACACCGAGATAGGACAAAAACTTACCAACTCTAGAATGGACTGTGTCCGACGCGTTCTCGGAGGATGGAAGCAAGGATTGGTCGAAGGCTGGTGACTTACTTCCCAGCGAGATCAGATATGAAATACGTAGAGTTGGATCGCAGAGTCTCTTTTGGTACTTTTCTCATGTAGTACGTCAAAAAAGTAATCTCTGTTTTCTAAAAATAATTAGTGCGTCGAATAAAATATAATTATCCAGTATGAAAAAGATCTCTTTATTTCTTTGACTGCTGAATCTTGCAATTTCTGCCTTAATATAGACTTTGGTTTGAGAAACTTGGGCACAAAGGAAGAGAGAGAGAGACTAGCATTTATTGGGAAACATGACGAAGTTGTGGCTGAAATGGCTTTCGTAGTCTGATTTATTATTACAGTAAAAATGCCTGACAAATTGAAGGAACTTTACTTAACTTGGTAAAAATAATGTAAAAAAATTCAACTAGAAATTTTTTTCAAACAAAAAAAAGTAGTTGTGTGAAATTCTTTCAACTAGAAATACTGCCATAAGTTTCATCTGATACGTAATTCCAGGCTAAATCAAGCTATTGTTTTTTTTTAAAAAAAACTATTATTCAATATTTAGTGCTTTTTTTGGGATTCTAGCAATCTACTGATCCAATTCGGGGTTTGTGACTACTCATAGTACAATGTCTGTGAAACTCAAACTTAAAACCGAAAGAAATCTAGTATTACTGCTAGACCAACTCTCTATTACTGGGTTGGTAGCTAAATCAAGCTCTGATAAGCAAACCAGTTCAAGATCTATTATACACAGAAAAACAAACTACAATCATCATCCTAATAAAGTATTAAACTTTTTCTAATTTTAGAGCCACTTTAGTTTGTTAAAGCCCTCAAATCGAGACTTTAAAAAATATTTTCTATGTCCCAATTGCAGAGAACATTTGCAAGTAAAAAATTCTTGCAGAGTGGAAGACAGCAACGCGGTTTGAAAAGAACATTTGTAAAAGCTTGTTAAATTAAAGAGAAGACTTGAGCTGACTCCAGAAGCTTCCTCCTCAAAAATACAAATCTGTGCATCACTGGGTTTCATCTTCTTCCGATCAGGTCGCAGATCAAAGAAATCTTTCACTTATTTCATCCTTCAGGTTCTGTTTTCTTCCTTTCTAATTATGTTATATATCTCTGTCATGGCTACCACTGTCAGTTTAAGATTAATTTCTATTATTTTTTTCCCCCTGTGAAATGGATTTAGTTCAAGCTTTAATTTGTGATTATGCTTTCTTTGAATACAAAACTTTTGCTTTGAACTATAAATAGCACATGAGCTGTGAGAAATATAAACATAGTTAAGCACTGGGTGTCAGCTCCCCGGGCTACACTCCCAGCTCCGCTTTAATTTTTGGGTCCTTTCCAAATGTTTCTTCTTAGTTTTTTTTTTTTTTTTGGTTATTAGATTTTATACAAAACTTTTCAATTTTATACGATTTTTCAAATATTGAAAGCAATGGGAAAGGGCCCCAAAATGAAGGGACAGATGGGGACGCAGCTGAGCGCGTCAACCTCCAGCTCCTAGGTTATCAATTCAATTAACCTCGGATCTATTTTCTTCCTTGCCAATTCTTTTAGACTATCTTCGAAATTTTCATGAACTTTTGAATCTGCGAACTAGATTTATGTTCTGCCTCAAAGTTTTGCCAGATTCTGCAGTTAAAAAATTCTTGCAAAGTGGAAGACAGCAACGCGGTTTGAGTCCCAATATGAAAAGAACATTTGGAGAAGCTTGTTATATTAAAGAGAAGACTTGAGCGGACTCCAAAAGCTTCATCCTCAAAAATACAAATCTGTGCACAACTGGGTTTCGTCACCCTCCGATCAGGTCGCAGATCAAAGAAATCTTTCACTTATTTCATCCATCAGGTTCCTGTTTTCTTCCTTTCTAATTTTGTTATATGTCTCTGTCAAGGCTACCAGTGTCAGTTTAAGATTAGTTTCTATTATTTTGGTTTTTTTCCGTGAAATGGATTTAGCCTTTCAAGCATTAATTTTGTGATTATGCTTTCTTTGAATACAAAACTTTTGCTTTGTAAGAAATATAAATATAGTTAGGCACTGGGTGTCAGCTCCCCCGGCAGCACTTCAGCTACGCCTTAATTTTGGGGTCCTTTCCAAATGTTTCTTTTTAGTTTTTTTTATTAGGTTCTATGTAAAATGAGTGATATTTTGACATCTTATAGGCAAAAAATTATTCATTTTTCAAATTTCAATTTTATCTGATTTTTCAAATATTGAAAGCAATTGGAAAGGCCCCCCAAAATTAAGGGACAGATGGGGACGCAGCTGAGCGGGTCAACCCCTAGCTTGTTAGTTATCAATTCAATTAACCTGGGATCTATTTTCTTCCTTGCCAATTCTTTTAGACTATCTTTGGAATTTTCATGAACTTGTGAATCTGCGAGTTAGATTTATGTTCTGCCTCAAAGTTTTGCCAGATTCATAGCAGGCTGGATCAAATCACGCCTCTCATATATTTAGCCTGATCAAATCATCATAAATTGGTGCAATTTCTTCCGTCTTCAGTATCCCCCTCACTGATTGCTGCACTGTTTCTTGAAGCTCCTACTATATATGTATTATTCTTTCTGTTTTTGTGTTTTTACTTTTGTACTTGGGTTCAGATTCCTAATCCTTGCGTTGCAATGGCGCATGATGCTGACGGAGTTGGGTGCTCTTCAAGTTCTTCTGGTTCAACCAAGAGAAGGAAGTATCATGTGTTTTTGAGTTTTCGAGGGGAAGATACTCGGAAAAATTTTACTGATCATTTGTATGCTGCTTTAAAACGCAAAGGATTAAAAACTTTCAGGGATGAAGAAGAACTTGAAAGGGGAGAATCTATTAATCCAAGTTTAATACAAGCAATTGAAGAGTCTCGTTCTGCAATTGTTGTGCTCTCCCCAAATTATGCTTCTTCAACTTGGTGTTTGGATGAGCTTCAAAAGATTCTGCAGTTAAAAGAAAAGACAAGTCTTCAAGTATTTCCATATTTTACGGCGTAGATCCTTCTGATGTTAGGAAACAAAAAGGAAGTTTTGCAGAAGCATTCATAAAGCATGAAGAAAGATTTGCCAAAAACAAAATAAAGGTGCAAAAGTGGAGAGATGCTTTAGAAAAAGTAGCTACTTTATCTGGTTGGGACTCAAAAGATCGGTAATTTCCACTTCTCTCAATAATTATCATCTCTCTTTTTTTGTTGAGAAATAAGGGCATACATATTCAAATATACTCTAATCCCTTCCCTCCCTAAAATGGGTAGGAGGTGGACTGCTTGAAGCTTTAACTAACAAGTATTATAAATATTATTTACTTAAAACTAGAATATTTTAATCCATTTTATTTTAATTACATTTACTTATTATCTATTTTGAAAACATACACTTAAATTTAAATGGTTAATTTTGCTGAGAGTATTTTAAAAAGATTTTTAATTAAAAATTTGTACTAGAATGATATTTATTTACTAATTTATCCTTCATCATACTAAATTCCTAATTTTGGATAAAATTCTCCTGCAAATAAATATTTTTCTAATGTTTTTATCATGTTGGAATAAAAGCTTAAGTAATGTAATTGTTATAGATATAAAAAGCTTATTAAGAATTTCAGTAATTCCTTTAATAAAGATACAGTTCACTAAGTGTCTTTATAAGTTCACTCCAAAAAAATGTGTTTATAAAAGTTTATTACAAAAATAGTTTAAAAATTTTAAATTAAAAATTTAAGTTATTAATATAATCTCATAAACTGAAATTATTTATTATATGTATTATGAATAAAATAAGCTTTTGAAATATGATCTTAGACATTTAAAAGAAATCTAAATAAATATATATCAATACATGCAATGAAAAAAAATAAAATTATACAATTTCATTATATAATCAAAATTAATAATTAATTAATATGATAACATATTATAATGTTTGAAAACTCATGCAGTAGAATTATTTCCTATTATAAAAAATTATGCTTTTCACAAATATAAATATTTAAATAATTTTATGCTAAATAAAGGTATTTTGGTCAAAGCAAAAGCTTAAAAGTTAAATTTAACCATCAACTAACAATTAGATAGATGAAAATAAAATCTCAAATATATAAGAGAGGGCTTGCAATTTGAATGGAAGCTTAGGTATGTTTTTAAAACAGATGCGATGTTTCTGATAAAACAGAAGGGGTGATTAGGAATTGGAAAAACGAACGTAGTACTAGTTTTTATAATTTTATTTGATTTTGAGTTAGGTCCCCTGTAGTTTTTTTTTTAATGAAATTTTTATGATTTATCACATTAAATGAGCAAGTCTTTCCGTAAAAAATACTCTCAATGATATTAGTGTTACGTGACATGGCATTAAAAAGGCTTGCTTTCTCTTTCTTTCCAACGCCGGTAATGAACTTTTGCTTTCTTCCACGTAAAAGCTTGTGGCTCTCTCTCTCTCTCTCTCTCTCTCTCTCTCTCTCTCTCACAAATTAATCAAGGGCCGACCACACTAGTTGATAAGGAGAAGAATATTGGGATTCGGCATTCCGGAGTGATAATGGCCATCGGAGCTTCTTTTTCGGCTGTGGCGGCGGGGTTTGCCCCGTTCTTTGTTGCTTCTATTAGAAATGCTTCTATCGGTGTGACAACATTCGAAGTCAGCTCATTGAAGAAGTTGAAAACATCTCCATATTTGACGTTCTACTGTCGGCTTCATATCTACGCGGTTAAAATGCCTTTAATATCATTGAGGTGTATGAATTTGTTTACATATATATATATATATATATATATATATCCCCAACGGCATAGAAGCAGTGCGTTGATGCTAATGGAGAGGTGAATACAATTTAAGCCTTTCTTATCCTTCTCGGCATGAGACTGGTTTGGTTGGCCCTTGAGGAGAAGAGTGAGTGAGAGCCGCAAGCTTTCGCTAGGAAGAAGAGAATGCAAGTCATGCAGCCTTTTCAATGCCATGTCACCACAGCATTAACCGCGTTGGGAGTATTTTTAACAGAACGACTTGCTCATTTAATGTAATAAAACTCCCTGTCCCCTGTTCGTATTTACAAGACAAGAGAGAAGATATTTTTTAATTCTATTTATTGAGTATTACGAGAAATATTTTGTATAGATATTTAATTTTACCCTTCATGTATAATATATATTAAATATGGATAAATTTAAATGTTATTAAATTTTAAATGAGATTTAACGAAATTTAAAGTTTTTTTTTGTCTGTGTGAAACATGCTGGAAGTACCTTATAAATAGGATCAGAAGAGTATAAAAATTCCATAAAAAGGGGAAAAAAACTAGAAGGACCAGATTCAAAATCATATAAAACTATAACCACTGCTAGATTTTTTTTCCCCTTAGTATTTCACTCATTTTTGTCCGTTATAGACTTGTATTTTTAGTTGTTGGTAAAGTAGACTTGTAGCACTAGGTTGCACATGATCTAGGTTTTCCAATCGAATTCAATTAATGATATAATTCTGAAATGGTCATTTTCTTGAATATATATTAGTAAAATTACATAATAATTATTATGTAATTCAATAATTTATAATTTATAATTTCTCTAAATTAATTTCGTTGTTTATTAAATAATTAATAGTTGTTATTAGTTTTTGATAGTTGAAGAATTTACCGTGTAGCATTAGATTTGAACTCTTGTGAAATGTTGCTTAAATAAAATTAAGAAAAACTATTCAAATAATAAAATGTATTGCCAAAAAAAAAAAAAGGAAACTCAACCTATAATGTATTAATTAAGTAACTTCAATATCTAGGAGTGTGTGGACACACACAACATAATCGTGTATATCTGCAAATAGTTATCTCCTATCCGCACTAAGTCAAACTAAGGTTCACGGAAAACTTATGATTGCTACATTTGTGGTCATGTTTTTCTTTACATCTCACATTAAGTATTTTTTATTGTTTATGCAAGAGCTTTAAAATTCAATTGACTAAAAACCATCACGCTATTTTCATGTTAAAAAAATCATTTTATAATTTTATTTTCATATGCAGGTATGAAAGCGAATTCATTGAAAGCATTGTTGAAGAAATGGGGTCAAAGTTACTTGATAAATCAGCATTTGGTCATGGCAAGTTAATTGGAATTGGACCAAAATTAGACAAACTGAAGTCAATCGTTGCAAGTGAATCAGAAGGAGTTGGGTTTATAGGAATATGGGGCACAGGAGGTGTAGGCAAAACAACTCTTGCTAGAGCCTTTTATGAGCAGGAGCGAGAGCGCAAAAACTTTGAGATTCACTGCTTCCTTGATAATATTAGAGAGGCATGGGAAAAAGAAGGTTTGATTTCATTGCCAAGAAAACTTCTTTCTTCTCTAGATAAAAAGAGTATGGAAGTGGCTGACTTTTATGAAGGAATGGAGTTAATAAAAAGCAAGTTGACTGACAGAAAAATTCTACTTGTCCTTGACGATGTGAGTGATATTAGGCAACTTGAAAATTTGGCTCCAAAGAAAGGATGGTTCAGAGAAGGGAGCATAATAATAATAACAACTAGGGATAAGCATTTGTTATCATCACACAGTGTATCTGCTGTGTATGAATTCAAATTATTGAGTTATAACGAGTCCCTTGAACTTTTCCTTGAAAAAGCTTTTAAAGAAGAGCATCCTAATGAAGATTATTTGAAACTTGCTAGAACCGTCATTGAGTATGCTAGAGGCCTTCCTTTAGTGCTCATAGTGTTAGGTTCATCTCTTTGCAAAAGACCTATAGTGGAATGGAAGGATGAACTAGCTAAGCTCAAGAAAATTCCTCCAAAGGACATTTTGAAGATACTTCAGGTGAGTTTTGATGGACTGGATGATCAGCAGAAAACCATATTCCTGGATGTTGCTTGCTTTTTCAATGGGATGGACAAAGATCATGTCATACAAATTTTAGAAACTTTGGATAAGGATTTTCGCCCAGAAACTGAGATAAATGTTCTCATTAAGAAATCACTAATGATTAGTTATGAAGGGCATTTGTGGGTGCATCAAATTCTCTAAGATATGTGTAAATATATTGTCTATCAAGAATCACATTATGATGCTGGCAAGCGTTCCAGGATATTGTCTTTGGAGGATGCCAATCAAGTACTAAAAGGAAATAAGGTGACATTATTCCAACGTTCTTGTGTTTATGTGCTTTTTAATATCAATATATTCCATAACTTTCACAAACATTTTGACCTTGGCTTGTTGTTTTATAGGGGACAGAAGCAATTCGAGGAATAGCGCTAACATTGGAAAAGTCATGTGATGCATTCTGGGATCCTGAATCCTTCTCAAAGATGAGTAATCTTAGGTTACTTATGATTTCAAGTCGCTCACATGTTTCACATTGTCAATTAAATCTTCCGCATGGGCTCAAGTCCCTTTCTAGCGACTTGAGAGTCATAGAATGGGTGAGGTATCCATTATTTTATTTGCCCAATCAGCCTCAACTCTATGAGCTTGTAGTACTAAAAATGCAGCACAGCAAATTAAAAAAACTTTGGAGAGGAACACAGGTAATTATGATCCTTTCATTTAAATTCTTTCTCCATAATTTAATAAATTATAATTATAATTAATGTTTAGTTTTGAGGGCTTACTGTTTTCAATTTTTCTATTGTTAGTCTCTCCCAAGCCTAAAGTCCCTCGATCTATCTCATTCAAAATGCCTCGTCAAAGTCCCAAATTTTGATGGAATTCCTCATCTTGAAAAGTTGATTCTTGAAGGGTGTTCTAACTTGGTTGAAATTCCCCACTCTCTTGGGCAACACAAGAAACTTGTCATTGTTGACTTGAAAGATTGCAAAGAAGTTAAAACGCTTCCAGAAAAATTTGAGATGAATAGCTTGGAGACTTTTATTCTATCGGGTTGTTCAAAAGTTAGAAAACTTCCTGAGTTTGGAAAAGATATGGCATGTCTATCGAAGCTTGATTTAGAGAAGACTGCTCTAGCCAAACTACCTCAATCGTTGGGTAATTTGATTGGTCTCGTTGAATTAAATTTGACAAACTGCAAAAAGCTGGTTTGTCTTCCATGTAGTGTTAGCAAGTTGAAAGCTCTGAAAGTTATCAAAATTTCTAAATGCTCAAAGCTTTCATGGCTGCCAGAGAATTTGAATGAAAATGAAGCTTTGGAAGAGCTGGATTTGAGTGGGATTGCTATACAAGGGTTATCATTTAGTGACTACAATAGCGAAACACAATCTTCATCATCATGGAGTTGCTTATCCCTTCTTCAAAGGCCTTCAAGCTCAAAAATTTTTGTTGCCGCCGTCTTTGTCATCTTGAAACATTTACTTATTTTTGCAATCTCCATGATGGATCACTTCCTGATGACATCAGCATGTTATCATCATTGGAAATTTTAGATCTAAGTGGAAACGATTTCATTGACTTACCATCTGGCCTCATTTCCAGTCTTTCGAAGCTTAAAGGTATTGTCTCTGGAGTTGCCCAAGGCTTCGGTCTTTGCCGCAACTTCCGTCAAATCTATCATATGGGCTGAAGGTTGTTCATCACTAAAACATTACGGATGTGCAGATCAATTATGGGATTTCATTGAATCATTTCAACCTCAGGTTTATTTTATTTGTCTTTAATTGTTCTTTCACCTCTATCATTTTACTTCTTTAACACGCAAAATTGTTTCTTATAGGTTCACAACCATTTAAATATGAAGTCAGCAATTATAAGAGGGGATTCAGAAATTGTGAGTTTTTAGAATCACCTGTTTTTTTCTTAATTTCTTTGACAATAAATATATAGTTTATTTTACTTGTACGTATATATTGCCATTTCTTACGTGTTAATCAACATACTTCTGATACAAACAATCTGTTTTTTTTTTTTGCTTTTTTTTGCCCCAGTTTTTTTCCCTCCGTCCACGTTGGCACTCATTAACAATTCCAGGCAGCAGAGTACCATCATGGTTTTATAATCAAAACTACTTTTGCGAGAAAGAATTCTGGTGGTGTCCAAATGTGTCGTTCATAATAAATATATCCCCTGATTATTGTGGTTCACGTGAATGGTGGGGCATAGCCATATGCTTAGTCATAGAACGCGATCTCACATTTGGAGAGGGGTGGGATGGAATTTGTTGGAGTTGCAGATTTCCTAATGATGAATTTCCAAACTCGCATTGTTGGCATAGTTTATCTACATCCGGCTAAGAGTCCTCTGCTTTATATAAAATATATTCCTTATTCCTCTTTGGTTGTCAATGGACTTCAAATGGTATTTTTCTCTAAGAATGCAATGGAAAATAAGTCACCAAGGATGAAAATAAGCAAGTGTGGGTGGCGAGCGGTGTGTAAAGAAGATGTTGAAGCATGGCGAAGAACAGGGGACGAAGGTTGTAGTATCATCAATAACTACGTGAAGATTGATCCAGACATCAACAGTGGAGGTTATAGGCCCCGGCCGAGACGTTATGATTATTGTAGAAGTGGATGGCGCCTATTCTCATTTAGATGACAAAGCAGCTTGTGGAGGCGTTCTTAAAGATGGCAACAATTGTATGAAGGAGGCTTTTCTTCTGAAATTAAGTGGCGGAGATACCCTCACAGCAAAACTATGGGGTTGCTTGATGGGTCTCAAAAGAGCTTGGGACACTGGTATTAGAGTTGTTGTCTTGAGAAGCGACTCCGCTGAAGCTGTTCGATTGATCAAATTTGAAGTCCCTGAGACGCACAAGGATATTGGTCTGATCATGGAAATCAAAGGGATGTTAGAGCGGAAATGGTTTGTGGATATCCGGGTCTTTCACAGAGACGGCAATGGCATCGCTGATTTACTTGCCAAAAGAGCACTTAATGGAGCAATGGGTCTGCAAATACTGGGCCCTGAGACAATGATGAAAATATTGCAGGCCACTGATGTTACACGAACTGAAGTTGAGAAAGATGGAGGTTATACTCAATGCTCCAGACATCATGATCAGTTCGTTGTTGAAGAAGATGAGTCTATACTTCCAAGGTACGTAGATCAGCCCTTCTGGTTTTAGATTAAAATTTATATTTTATATTAATGCATGCTTGATGGATATTTAAATTTTGGTTGATACATTAATTTAATATAATCTTTCAATTCTTATAAATATTATATCCATTTAATTACTTCCTTTCATAGGGGCTGTTCGTTTTATATTATTGGCTGGGTGTTTCATCTTTTGAAAAATTGTTTCTTATTTTTTGTATTTTAATTGTACGACACGTATATGGTTTCAACGTTCCATCAAAGGTCAAACTAGATCTTATGCATTCCCTTAATTTTTCATTCTCATTTCATAAGTTGAAGAAGATTTTACGTAGTCATTTGTATGTGGTAAGGACCACGGAAAAGGGTTTAGGAGGAAAATTAATAATAGATGTACGACCCAATAGCCATAGGTCAACTATATATTAGGCATGTTCAATGTTCTTGTTTTGATGTAACTGAACCAACTTGAAATATCATTTTATATATATATATATATATATATTATAATTCAGTACTGTTTAAATTAAGCAATTATGAGTGGCACGTTTTCTGCAGATCAAAAGTTAAAAGATGGCAAAAATCAAAAGATAAATCTAATATTGATTTAGAAGGCTGTAGCCATTGGGAGTGGATGTAACTTTTGGCATTCCCCTGAGCGTCTATTTCAGAATTGGTGCTAAGGTATGTTTTAGATTTTTTTTACATCAAGGTGCATGTATCCATCGATACTAGTTATAAAATTGTCATAGAAAGCCCTTTTTTGGTCATTGTAAAAAGTTTGTTTTTGCATCAGTATCATCAGCTCTAGGTACATATTTTCGAATCATTTTACAAAATTAAAGCAAGTAGATTTCCAAAACTCTTCCAAAATCTCTCCAGTTTCGATTAAATTTGTTACTATTAGGCTTATTGAAATATAAAATAACTTGGGATAGACAACATGTATGCTTCATGATTCTTACTTGGCTGAAAAATCGATCTTCCCTTGAGTTCATTTATAGGTTTTGTGTATACAAGTTGGCGAAATCTCATCTTAGAGGCATTCAAGAAGCAAGAGCTAGATACAAGGAGCAATTCTTCAAAAACCATCTCCTTGCTGAAGGACGGATGTAAAATCAATGAGGCCCATACAGATATAGCAAATAGGCATGTGGAAGTCTTGCATATTTCTACTTACACTTCATTAGTTTAGGCTTTTCACTTTTGTTATGTTCTTTTTATGCTGTTTTGTTTTCCTCATGCATCCAAAACGGGGGGGGGGGGGGAAACAACAAAATTGGTACATATATAAGCTTCTCATTATGGCTTAATATATCTATAAGATTAGTACAGTTTGTACAAGAATTTCTCCACAGCCCTACGCCCTCTTGCACCGTTCCCTCCCCTCTGAAAAACCCCAACCAAACAAAAGGTTACGAGAGGATGTATTTCAAACTCTTATCTGCAGAAATTGGACCAAAATCATTTAAGACGATTGCCGGGGGGATATCCTTGGGCTTTTTTTTTTCTTGGGACAATTATAGTGAGATTCTTTAAAAAAAAATTACAAAAAAAGTCCCAAAAGTTGTCATTTTCTATCCAGAAACTTGTCATTACAGACTGTTTAGGTTGTTATTAGAACTTTTGGTAATTATTTTTTTTCCTAGGACCTATTATAATTGTCCTTTTTCCCCTCACTGGCAACAGAAGGATCGAAGGTTGTCGTCGTTGATTCAATCACAAATAGAGGGTTTCCTTTATTTAGAGTATAATCTGTGAGTTTATGCTCCGGTCACTCAGTGATCATTACTCTTTTAATAGTTGAGTAGAGGTAATTATATTATGTTGTGTAAGGGGGAGTTTGCATTTAGGCAGAATAAATATCACTGATTCTACACGTTATGAAATATAAAAGATTTTGTTCCACGTCTCTTTTGGTATTTTCCCCACGGATTACACGTCAAAAAAAATTATCTTAGTTTTCTACAAATATCAAGTTAAGAAAAATATTGCTGGCCAGAAAAATATTAGTATCCAAGGTAATCATCATTTCTTATTTCTCTTGAGATGGCTCTCATAGTCTGATTTGTTACAGTAAAAATGCCTGACAGATGGAGGCGTGTTTCGAGTCCTGGAACATTGTAGGAAACTTCTTTAACTTGGTAAAAAATAGTATAAAAACTTTCAACTAGAAATTCTTGTGAAGAATAAAAAGTTGTGAATTACTTGCTTTTGTAAATTATAAATTGTACTTTATGATTAAAATATAATTTTTACTCTTATAAAAATTTTCTTGGTTCATTATTATACTTAGCTAAAAATATTACAGTTTTTAAAGTTCCAATTTTAAAATAAATTTTTTATTCTTTGAGTCTTTTATTGTAACTTTCACCAAATTTTGATGTGTTGTAGGGGGTTTCAAATAGTAATAATGATTGTGTTCATTTGTCTTCAAAACCACGGCTATATGAAGCTTCCATTATCCCCATCTCATGACATATACTATATATCTATAAAATGCTCTCATAAGTTTATACATGTGTGTTTTTACTTCGTACTTTCAACTATTGGACAAAAATTCAGAATAATAATATAGATATTCTATTTCTATCGTAATTTTTATTTTTTTTATTAATTGAACCCTTCAAAAGAGATAAATTGGCAAATAAGAAACAAAATTCATTAAGAATCCATTTTTTTCTTCTTCTTCTTTTGGTACGGAATATACACATCAATTTTCATGGATCATATATACTCTTCATTCCATTTCCAGTTCCTATGTTAATAGAAGTGTGACTTCTCTTTTGTCTCACAGTAACAAAAAAGAAATTCACGGTATGTAGGCTTTTCTTAGTGGTTTTTTTTTTCCCCCCTCGTGAGCACCTTGGTATCCAGCCCGAACAGTCGAACCTCGCAAGCCATATAGGGGGCAACCCTCCCAAGCCAGCAGCTCCATTCACAACCCTCAATGTTGCTTAAGGGACTTAGAGGGTATTTGGACAAAAACAAAACCATGGTTTTAAAAATACTTTTACGGTATACGAAATAATATGTGAGGAGTTTACCTCTATTTATGAAAAAGTGCTTTTGAAAAGTGTTTTTGGGGTTACCCCCTTAGTACTCATCCGGCTAGACCAATTGGACATCGATTTTTCCTAGTATTTATTATTAAGTATAATTATAATATTTTTCGGTGGACTTGCGTATTCATCAAATCAATAACAGTTTTAAAGGTCAAAGGATCAATTATACTTTAAACAACAAATACAGGGAGTTAGAAACAAAGATACAAGCATAAAAGACAATATTGCTTCATACATCAAGCCCAACACCACTGTAGAGAACAACCTGAACGACAAACACTCAATAAAGAACAGAGCGAAAAGAGTTTTTTTTTTTAAAAAAAAACTTCATCATTTAATCCGATAGGTTCCAAGCTAAATCAGGGTCTTACATACAAACCTGTTCCATATCCAAACACAAAGAAAAACTAACTACTCCCCTGGCCCTTAATGTAAAACATAATTAGCTCATTTGAGTAGATTAAGGATGTTAGTT